TTTCTCAACTTGAACAAAGTTAATCAATAAACTATTTATAACAGTAACTAGTAAAACAGATGTAAAACAGAACAAGGGGAGCGTGTTGTTCTTCGGAGGAGGCGGCACACTGGCACCAGCTCAATGTACATCTGTCTAATGCAGAGTCTCTATCCACAACCTGGAGGAGGAAATGTACATGATTGTATTAAATAAAGAGTAGAATGTTTAGTTAATAGTACACTGTTAGTATAACAATAATATTTTAAGTAGTACATTCATTAGAATTTCATATAATAATTTACTTTTTTTTTTTTTCAGTAGTTGAATATTATATCCAGTTACAGCTGTTTCATTTCTGTGGGTTGTTTTTATTCATTAAAAGGCTCTACATTGGTCTCTAGTTTGTTAATGCTAAGTACTAACTTCTCAATAATCAAATTGTTCAACATTAAATGATTTGCTGTAGCACATGAAACTTTTTTTTACCGTCCCGCCCCATCCAGGCTGTGATTGGTCGGTTGACAAAAAGTGACCCACAAGCACGTCGGCTCTGTGAGAAGTTGAACATGTTGAACAACAAAAAGGCACAGATACAGCTAACGTTAAGTGGACCGCAAGCCAAACCCAAACCTTCCTTATCTTCTGACCGCTTCAGCTGCTGACGATGTCTCTCTGTCACAGAGCGACCGGAGCACCTGCGGCGAGTCCGACTATGTTTTGAACTATTAGTGGCGCGGCAGGGAGGGGGGGGGGGGGTTATAGCAGGTTGTTGTCTTAGTTACTGGCACACTGCTCATAAAACATTTTTCTCAACTCTTTTTAGGGCCCCATGTGAGAGCCCGGTGTGGGCGGAGATAATGAGCATACTGCAGCGCACACACAGAAGAGAGTGTCACACACACTTTCTCAAGAGTAGGAATTTAACAGGGCTTATGTGCAGTTTTGCAAATGAAATCTGTTCCATAATCTTCAGTGGTACTGGGAAAGCAAAGTCTGAAAAGTAACATTTTCTGCTGCTACGTGTTTTCTGTGCAAACGCAGCCTTGGTTGATTTAAAAAATCTTGGTTCCTCCTCATGGTTCAGGTTCGTGAGGTATGCCAGAGTTTTTCCAGAGAGGCTCTCCGGTGGCAGGTCTACGCACTTCTGGCCCTGCAGGAGGTAAGTGGCTGCCTCCACCAACAAGCTAACATGCCGTCACTCATGCAGTGTTTACTTCTGGTCTGCATACTCATAACACCTCAGACATATTTCAGATTGATGATTGCACTCAAGGACAAAAGTATGAATGATTGTGTGGAGCATTTTGTATTTTGCATTTTGTGTGTTTCTCTCTCTCTCTCTCTCTCTCTCTTTCTCTTTCTCTTTCTCTCTCTCTCTTTCTCTCTTTCTCTCTTTCTCTCTCTCTCTCTCTTTCTCTCTCTCTCACCCCAACCGGTCGAGGCAGATGGCTGCCCACCCTGAGCCATGGTTCTGCTGGAGGTTTCTGCCTCTTAAAAGGAAGTTTTTCCTTGCCTCTGTCGCCTAGTGCTGCTCTTGGTGGGAACTGTTGGGCTTCTGTAAATATCATCACAGAGTACGGTCTAGACCTGCTCTTTTATGAAAAGCGCTGTGAGATAACTGTTGTTGTGATTTGGCGCTATATAAATAAAATTGAATTGAATTGAATTGAATAATTTGGCAGTTGCCTGTTGACACACTTAGCACACAGAGCAACATCAGCATTCATTTGGAGTGGTGTTTGTGTCACCTGATGGAAGCAATATTCACTCTTTTAGCTCTGTTTTTGGTCTCCACCACCTGAGAGAAATCTGTCTCTATAGCAGCTAAATGCTTATTATTTGACCATTGTCAATATTAAACACTGGTGTCAAAGGGTGAGTTGAGATGATCATTCATGCTTTTATTTCCTCTCATTTAGATTACTGTAACTGTCTTTTTACTTGTTTGAGCAAGAAGGAGCCTTTACCGTCTCCAGGCTGTTCAGAACTCCGCTGCAAGGCTTTTAACTCCCAGTAACAAGAGCGCACACATCACACCTGTTTTAGCATCACTTCACTGGTTACCAGTCCAGTATAGAATTCAATTTAAAATCCTGGTCCTTACTTTAAGAGCCCTGCACGGTCAGGTTCCTCCCTACATCTCTGAGTTGATACAGCTTCATACTCCCACCTGTAGTCTGAGGTCATCGGGTCTGTTAGTGGTTCCCCCACTCATTTTAAAACCAGAGGGGATCGATCATTCCAAGCAGTGGCACCTAGGCTGTAGAATACATCACCTCCTTTTCTACAATGTGTGAATTCTGTCGATTCTTTTAAAAAGCAACTGAAGACACTATGATTCAAGCAGGCTCTTAGTTAGACGTGGGGTTTTATGGTTGGTTGTTCTGTTTTCCATTTGTATTTAAATTTCCTTATGCATTGTATTTTACTTTGTTGTATTGTATCGCATTTTATTGTGAAGCACTTTGTGATGTAGAAGAGAAAGACAGAGAGGTGTTGTGCGGACGTTCAAATCAACCCCCCCGACGTAAATTCTTAGTCACCTAGTTTTTAGTGGAGCCTGACACTGATTTTTATAAGGGGAAAATTGATAAATTACCAACATGGTGGCTGATATAGTGAGTTTTTAGCTGGAATGAAAATAGACCTTTTCAATACGATTTTGTACTGACATGAGTATCCAAAGGAACTCCGAAGACTGGGGACGTTGTTTATTTACTTTGTAGCACTGTCTCTCACCAACTAGGTTAGAACATAGTGTGAAGTCAACACTGAACAAACTCAATCCACAACCACGCTGTCGTCTCTTAAGCTGCAGAATGAATGGGAAGAGATGCTCTGATGCTTACCTTTCAATCTTCTATGTTACTGACCAGCTGTAGCTGGCTAACATAGCAAACATATGGCTGTTGTCATTGACAGGGTTAACGTTATATTAGTTATACTGAAAGGGAACATTTGCATCTTTTAATGTTGATGGACTCTATTTAATAGCATTTTATAACTCAATCACAATAGCATTTAATATACAGATTATGCATTTATAAGGACATTGAGAGAAAAGATGAACAAAAACACTTTCAGTGTCACCACATGAAGCAGAGGAATGATTTTTAGCTCCTTGCGGCCACTTGCTTCCCCTGAAACATTACACTGGATTTGGTCTTTTAATAAAAAATGTTTCTTTGAGCTTATTTCACCTGCTTTCCTCCTTGTCCTCCCAGGCTGCAGAGGCGTTTCTCGTCATGCTATTCTCAGACGCAAATCTGTGTGCCATCCACGCCAAGCGGGTCACCGTGTTCCCCCGTGATATTCAGCTGGCCAGGAGGATCCGCGGCGTTGATAACCTGTGACAGCAACACAGAACAGGGTGGGCGAGCGAATACAAGCAACAGGAATGACTGACATTATTCCGCTGTAGTTTGTTCTGGCACTCTGATACTGCCTTTAATCAGTTCAAATGGCTTTATACCTAGTTTTAATGTTTTCTGAAGATGAAGCTGTATTTTAATACATTTTTAAATAATTTTATATGTTGTGGTAATGTGATCACTGCTCTGTGCTCTTTGATATATATCTGATGTGTACATATTGTTCCCCATTCAAGTAACCTTATTTTGTTAATAAACAGTAATTTTTTTCTATTATGTACCTGATGTCTTATTTTGGTTTGGAAACAAGTCAAGATTTAATCTGTTCATGATGTTGCCAGTAATGTTTTTTTAGCTAAACAAGTCACCTAGAGGAATCCAGTTTGATGCAAATGGAGAAAGGGATTTAGGAGAATATTACTTTTTTTTATGCTGGAGTTTTTAAGCCAGATGTCCTATTTTAAACACTCTTTGTTTTTGTAATTGGTCCCCGGGGGTGCAGATCAGTGGCCAATCGGATATGTTCTTACCTGCACCCTGAGAAACATTAGACACTGTCAGTTTTCTATTTATTTATTCATAAGGACAATGCAAATAAATCGAAATTTCTGTAAATGTGCCAGTGTTAGCCCGCTGGCAAATTTTCAACTGCAGTCCTTTGGCATATTTTGAAAGAGGTGATGGTTTAAATTTACAGACGGAGGAAAACAAGATGCCATAAAGTCAGCAACAAAATAAGCATTCTCAAAACTGTGCACAATTAGTACAATTTAGCAACAATATCCATTATTTGGTACACATAGCCACGTAAGCAGCACAAAGCAACAAAACTTAGCCAAGCAATACTGATAACCAATTTAGGTGTTAATGTTAGTTGTATGCAGGTGAGAGATCTGACCAATGACCATTTACCAGTTTATTCAGTAGGCCACTTGAAAAGCTTCCTATAAAACACCTTCATGTGTTTGCGCTAAGTGTAGGGAAGTATATACATTTAAATACAGACTACTTTCTCACAAAAATTATATATTTTAATATTGTAACAAATAACAATGTAGTTGAGTTAATTTGATGTAATCTAACCTTTTTTAAACTGTTAAACAATAAATGTTTGAAAATTGTACAAACAACATACATTAAAAAGCCATGAAATTAGCGGATTGTCTACCTGTCAGAGCATAAGCATAAAATATCAACAAATGTGACAACATTATATTCATATACACTGTGTGGCCTGTTAAAGTGGGACAGATAGGCTATGTTAGAAGCAGAGAAAATGGGCAAGCATGAGGATTTGAGTGACTTTGACAAGGACCAAATTATGATGGCTAGAAGACTGGGTCACAGCATCTCCAAAACTGTAGCTCTTGTAGGGTGTTCCCGGTCTGCAGCGGTCAGTACCTATCAAAAGTGAAAACCGGGGAACCGGCGGACGTAGGGAGCAAAGGCTGGCCCGTGTGGTAAGATCCAACAGATGAGACACTGTAGGTCAAACTGTTGTTCTGATAGAAAGGAGTCAGTGCATCACAGTTTGTTGTGTATTGGGCTGCGTAGACCCAGACCAGTCAGGGTGCCCATGCTGACCCTGGTCCAGCTTTTTCTTTTGCATCACATGGATGGCTGGGTGCACTTACCTGGAGAACACATGGAATCAGGATGCACGATGGGAAGAAGGCAAGTTGGCAGAGGCAGTGTGATGCTTTGGGCAATGTTCTACTGGGAAACCTTGGGTTCTACCATCCATGTGGGTTTTACTTTAACATGTACAACCTATCTAAGCATTGTTGCAGACCACGGACACTGTTTCATGGAAACAGTATTCCCTGATGGCAGTGGCCCCTTTTCAAGATAATGCGACCTGCCACAAAGAAAACTGTTCAGGAATGGTTTGAGGAACACAACAAGTTCAAGGTGTTGACTTGGCCTCCAAAGATCTCAATCCAGTCAAGCATCTGTGGGATGTGCTGAACAAACGTCCGATCCATGGAGGCCCCACCTCGCAACTTCAAGGATCTACCAACCTACTGCTGCCAACATCTTGGTGCCAGACACCACAACACACTTTCAGAGGTCTAGTTGAGTCCATGCCTTGACAGGTCAGGGCTGTTTTGGTGGCAAAAGGGTGACTTACACAATATTAGGCAGGTGGTCATAATGTTATGGCTGACCAGTGTATAGTATTGATCATGTGGTTAAGTTTGGATTAAGTGAAAAACATAGACAGAAACAGTTTATTAGTCCTTAGACCTCCCTCAAAGGGGGACTCAAAATTTGTGTTGGCTTCCATGTTTTCTCCGTTGTCCAATGAGATTAGGTGCGTTACCAAACACTGACATATTTTATCCCGTAACCCTTAAATAGACCATATTTTAAATATTTACTTATCTTTGCCGATCAGCACTCACACATTACAAACTGAGAGTCCAAGGGTAATTGTTTTGTAATTGTATTTATTTGATTTATTTTTCTATTTTAACCTCACATTGCCCTTCCTGCTGTTCTGAGTACACTGATGATGGCTCTCTCTCTCTCTCTCTCTCTCTCTCTCTCTCTCTATATATATATATATATATATATATATATATATATATATATATATATATATATATATTTTAAATGTGTGTGTGCTGGTTTTCTGTTCGTTTGGATATGATATTTCCAAAACAGGATTTTACACAGTGATTAATTATGTGTTTGGTGTATAATATTGAAGCAAAACCATCTGTATTTGGATAAATTATTTGGTTTAGGCAACAAAAATGACATGAGACATTTGTTCAAAATACTTTTAGCCAGCTGTTTTAAATAACTGCCATTTATTTCTAAGCATTTTCTGCGAACGTCTTTTACTGTGGGACAGACACCTCAAACAAACTTGCTAGATATCGCTCCTCATTAACTGACAGACATGAAGATCAACCAATAGTGTTTCGTCTTATTTACTCGCGCCCTCATCCCAAGCTTTTGATTGGATGGTTTATTTCCGGTTGTGAACTAATGCCGCGTTCAGGTCATCTCGTAATTATGATATTCAACCGTGAAATTGATCTTTCCGAAAGCTCCGATTCATCCGACTTGGCACTTAGTGGTACGGAAGTGCCTCAAAACTAAAAATGCATCACATCAGCCAAAAATCCCTCCAATGTGATTAAACGTGCATGGTGTTATAATGTCAACGCGCCGTATTTGAATCCTCACACAACTCAACTTTTCTTTCATCACACGACCAACTCTGTAACCATCATGAAAACGGTTGATGCGGTGAACGCTCGGAATCCCTCCGTCCGTATGACCTGAACGCAGCATGAAACAACAGTCCGGTTTCGGTGGCGGAGTGAGAGCTGTTACTAGTTGATACCTGTGGTTGATACTAGCTAAATTACTTGTCTGTAGCCAGTATAAAGCTTTGGTCCACTGACTTGAAAATGCGGGTGTAGCTTGCTGCTCTTATGGCTTTTGCGTTTGCGCCTGAATGCTCTGAGATAGAGTCGGGATGTTTTCAACCAACATGGAAACAAAAAGAGTGGAGATCCCCTCCGGAGTACTGGACGACCTCTGCAGGTACGTTAACTGGACGCTTTACCGACCTTTACCGTCGTCGTTTGGTTGCCATTCCACTTTCAAGTGCTGTCATAAAGACTGTGACTTCACTGTGTTTACTAGTAAGCGAAAACTGTTCGTCGAAGATCAAAACTAGCACGATGCGCGTAGTTATGTTGTTGTTGTCGTCGTCAACGTTAGCTGATGTTGGACCTGGTCCTGATCCAGCCTCTCCTGTGTTTCTCCAGCCGGTTCATCCTGCACATCCCCAGTGAGGAGAGGGACAACGCTATCCGGGTGTGCTTCCAGATCGAGCTGGCCCACTGGTTCTACCTTGACTTCTGCATGCAGAACACTCCAGGGGCCCCTCACTGTGGGATAAGAGACTTCGCCAAAGCAGATATCCTTACGTGTGAATGATGACGTTAAATGACCTAATAGCTTTTTTTAAATGTATCTTTTACATTAGTTGCACGCTGATATTCATATGCTCTGTACTGTACTGCACACAATGCAAAGCATGCCATAAGTGCCTATGTTAGTTTCCTTGACAGCTGCAAACTCTTCCATCACTGTCCTTTTCTGTTGCCTCATGGAGAGGATGTGCAGAAAGTTCTGGAACAGTGGAAGGAGTACAAGATGGGTGTACCTACTTATGGAGCAATCATTCTCGATGAGTCGCTAGAAAACGTGAGTTCTTTTTGCACTCATACACCACAGCAATATCTGACAAAGCTTTTATTAAATCATTTAAAGGATATTTCTGGTTTATGAATTTCATCATTTTAATAAGTGATATAAACATTGTACTCACCAAGTTAATTGCTGAGATCTATCAGGCACCTGATAGAACCTTTCGCCCCACCAGACTCCAGCACACACAGACACACACATGCTAAGGCCCACCTTAATCAGGCTATTTGAATTTCCAGCCAAGCTGACATGTCAAATCACACACATATTGGTGAAATATTGAATGACTAGTCCAGCTGAGCAGGCAGCAAGTATTCCTGTCCAGTTCAATAAACCAAGTACTGCCATCTCACTCACAAATCACAATACAATGATACAATGAATTAAATCATCCCAAGGCAGTGTGTGGCTCAATACTATGGCAAAATAGTGTTCACTGAAATCACCCAAGCAGAAAGTACACTAGTAATCCTGAAACATGACTGACTGAAGATACAACAATGTCATAACACAACACTGCTGAGTGCAGTTTTTCAAAATAACAGTCACTAAGTGAGCTGGGCAACTTCACACACTCCAAAAGCCAACATATACTCGACTGACAAACTAACTCTCACACAGGTTTTATAGCAGCATCACACCATAATGATGCAAGACACATGCTATGCAAACAGCATATAAACTAAGAAAAAAAAATGAATTATCTGGTCACACAATCAGATGACTTCACAAAGTAGCTGATCAATCCTCAAAGTCCAGCTAGCAACAAGCAAAGCAAGATATGTTTCTGGTGGACGGTGACTTTGTAATAATAATATAATAGCGTGTCTTTTCCCGTTCTTGTTCTTTTCTCGTTCCCCCTCCGTGATACCGGATAGTTAGCCGCCAGAGACTGAAAGGCTGAAATCCTTTTGAGAAGAATTTCCTCCAGGACGCTCTCTGTAATCAATCCCCATAGTGCAGGCTCTTAAGAGATGATGGTACCTGCCACTGCCGATGAGCTTGAGGTGGAGTTACCTCGTTCAGTGTGCGGACCGGTGTCTTTTTCCGTTTCTTTCCTAAAGTTAGCTGCAGTTATTCTGAATGTGCAGAAAGTTTTGAACATGAGCAGTAAACCGACTGAAACACAGGAGCTATTGAAGTCCAAGAGTTTATAACTGAATTAATTTATCATTGAGGTGAAGAGGTGCTACCTATTTAAAGAGGTTACTGCTTTACACCACTGCATCCGACGCTTTGCGTTGCACTTGGTGATGTAAGCCTTGGATGCACCTGCTCGGCCATGGAAACCCATTCCAGGAAGCTCTCTACACACTGTTCTTGAGCTAATCCGAGGGCCACAAGACGTTTAGAGGTCTGTAGCTTTTGACTCTGTAGAAAGTTCTCTGTGATTTTATGTGTCCTACCGCTTCGTGGCTGTTGTTTCTGTTGTTCCAAATCGCTTCCACTTTGTGATAATACCACTAACAGTTGACCGTGGAATATTCAGTAGTGAGGAAATTTCACAAATGGACTTATTGCACATGTTGCAACTTATCATGGTACCACGCTTGAATTCACTGAGATCCTGAGAGCGACCCGTTCTTTCACAAATGTTTGTAGAAGCAGTCTGCATGCATAGGTGCTTTATTTTATACACTTGTGGCCTTGGACAGGGCTGGATTGGTAATCTGGCATACCAGGCAAATGCCCGGTGGGCCGACGCACCTTTGGGGCCTGTGAAACGTAAATTATTTATTTATTTAACATTTTTTTTAAAAACTAGGCCAATGACTGGCCCACAAAGCATGGACAGCAGCCCATTGGGTAATTTTCTTTACTGACATTGGACTGGCCCAATCATATCTCTTACTAGTCTTAGAATAAGTTACAAGTCTTACAAGTCTTGATGAAGTCAGATGGCTGCTGCCAAATGCGCAAAATAACTGATATGTTTGCTACGGAGGCTGCAGTAGCGTCAACATCAGCTGCAGTACCCTACTTAGTGCAAGCACAGGCACTAGAGGAGTAAAGGAGAGCCGTGGCCACTGCCAGGCACAGGAGGAGGCGTGTGTTAGCAGAGCAGGTTGACAAAGTGACAGGGCCGAGGGGGAGAGAGAGCTGGAGGAGAGTGGAGGTGAAGCGGTAAGCATGGAGTAGCTCAGTCTGCATATATACAGTAATGTTAATTATTATAATAACAATAATAACCGTAGGACTAGTAAGTGAAACAGCCCTCTGGCCTCTTTCGGACTGGTTTGTTTGGTTTGACAGATATTTCCTAAGCTGACTGCTTTAATCTTGGGTGTCATATGACCAGAGTGCCTTTGCGATTAGAAAAAATGCAATGCAAATCGCAAATGCAATTAATTGTTCAGCCCTAATTTCCAGTGAATCAACACTCACTGTTGTGCCAATACTATAAATTGCCAAAATATCTGCTAGTGCAATCTCTCCAGGAGCTCCACCCTAATATTGCAGTTGTCAGTCGTATCTCCTACAGAGAGTAGAAAATGTTTACAAGAGTTGATCCTGGGAACATCTGAGCTGGTTTACTTTTGCAGAAGTGTAGTCTCTGTTGACCTAATTCTTGAAACTGCTGACTGCCAGACTTGGTCAGTAATTTCAATACCAAAGTCTTTTGCCCATTGCTCCCTAAGGTGATTCTAAGAAGGAGAGACCATTTCTTGAATAGAACTGTATAATCTAGATATCAGTCGCCTCGAACTTAATCCTGTTTGATCAGGTTCTGTTATAAAGTTTACAACCTTATCAAGCCTGGCTGCAAGGACCTTGTTTAGAATTATATAGCCAATTGAAAGCAGACTTGCAGGTCTATATGATTCACACCTCAGACGGTCCTTTCCCTTTTTATGTAGAACTGGAATTTCAGCTTTTGTCATGGTTGGCAGCAGTGACTTGCCCTCACGTATTGCTGCAAACAATTTTTGTGATGATTGGTTTCATTAAAAAGGCTTAAGGCCCCATCCACACAACTGCGTTTTGGTTTTAAAACGGAGACCTTTTGCTACGTTTGCACCTCCCGTCCAGACTAAAACGGAGAAATTTGAAAACGCAGCCAACCCCGTTTTTTGTTTTGAAACACCAGAGAGCTAATTGAAGATAAATTGGTAACAGCATATAAAGGACTATTTAAAAACAAAACAGAGAGAAGGAAGACGGATCCTTCAGTCATGTTATGAGTGTTGTCGTAGCATAGTTTCGTTGCATAGTTTATCCACAAAAGGCCACTCTGTGACTCCCCATTTTGGCAACACAGTTTGGCTGATATATCGTTTTTTTTAAATCCTCAATTATCAGAATCGGTCTTTAAAGTCCCATATCAACCGGGCTCTACTATGGATACACAAACACACAAAATACTTGTTAGCTGGATACATTCATTGTTTGGTCTCTTTGTGGGATTTGTCAACAAGAAAGGAAAACATAGAAAATAACCTTAACCTTTGAATTTTCACACTAATAATATTGTTGATATGAAGCATGCCATGACACACCCTTCATCAGTGTACACCTGTTATGAAAAACCACATCACTTGCTGCAACTAACCGGTGCATCTTTTCTCCTCAGGTACTGCTTGTTCAGGGCTACCTTGCAAAGTCAGGTTGGGGCTTTCCAAAGGGGAAGGTTAATGAGGATGAAGCTCCTCATGACTGCGCAGTTCGTGAAGTGAGTTTGTTTTTCAACTTTGACCAGCGGGAAGCATTAAGAGCCGTGTATATGTGTGTATCAAAATACTGGGTGTTTTCTAGGTGTTGGAGGAGACGGGCTTTGACATCAAGAATCGCATCTGCAAAGACAAGTACATAGAGCAGAAAATCACTGACCAGCTGGTGCGGCTCTACATTATACCAGGGGTGTCAAAGGATACCAAGTTCAACCCCAAAACAAGGAAAGAGATCAGGGTAGGAATTCATTTTTTATACATTTTCTCCTCAGATTGATTTCCAGCTTTTAGTAGCTGACAGAAACATTTTATGATCTTGTTCTTCTTTTCTTTTAGAACATTGAATGGTTTCCTATTGAGAAGTTGCCTTGTCACAGGAATGACATGACCCCAAAGTCTAAACTTGGACTTGCCCCCAACAGGTTTTTCATGGCCATCCCATTCATAAGGTGCGTGTGTCGAAGGTTGCAATTCATTATTTCCATTATTGAAATATCTGTTCATATTTTCCATTAAAGGAATATGCACATACACACTTTCCTTCTGAGAGATCTCATATCAGGACGTGGCACATGGCACATTTGCAAAGTGCCTACACAGGGGATTAGGACCCAAACGCAAGACACCTAGCCAGAGCAGGTTCTGTTTCTCATAATATATTAATATAACACAAAAGGTGAAAACACTTTCAAAGGGAAGAGGCAACCAGGGGTCCAGAACAGGAGAGCAGTCCACATCAAATCCACAATCCTAAAAATAATCCAACAACACAGGTATGGTAAGCAGGCAAAATCCAAAAAAGAAATCCACAATACAGGCACAGAATACAGTCAGGGACCCTTGGCAAGGAATGAAGACGACGCACTGAAAATAGGCAGAGCAAACACCAAGACTAATGTACAAAAGGGAGGGCAGGATGATTAGACACAAGTGAAACACATTAGGGCAGTCAACACAATCAGACAGGCATACATACATAAACTTCACACAAACTTCAGACACCTGAGGCAGAATATTTTCAAAGTAAAACAGGAACTACCAATTCTCAAAACCATGACAGGTTAACCATTTAGCTAGGTAAATGAAGCAGGGCAGAGAGCCTGGCTCTGTTCAGAGTTCAACAATACAACTATCAACGCCTGTTGTTGCTCGTTTGCTTAATCTGTTCATACGTGTAAACACATCTAGATGAGGTTTCCTCAGTGATGTTGAACTTTTATGTGCTCGACTTGATAAATGTGATTTAGTTTCATTCGCTGGTATTGATGGCGCACTTCCTGCTCCACCTGTACAGACCGCTGCGAGAATGGATCAGCAAGCTGAAAGGCGAGTCAACAGACAGCGATGAGGACTTCGCAAACAACGGCAACACTCCATGCAAGTCTTCAGACAATACTCGGTAAAAACACCTTATCAGTGCTTGGTAGAATGTACCGTTATTTCTTAAATAAAAGCTTTGTGATACCGGAATACCTGAGTTAAGCCCAATAATCTCACTTTGTGGTACAGGCTCCAGGTCACTTGTTGCTAACCAAGCAGCAATCTTTGGGGCTAAAAATTTAAGCCAGCCTAGAAGTGTCAAAAACATTTGATTGAATGGCCACTTGAGGCGAGCTAGTCCATCCCCATAGACACCCAAATAAACATGTTAACAACCTGGTACAAAAAACAATTTTTGTCTCTATAGCTAATTTCCTGAACAAGGGGGTGATTTTTATAACTTGCCTGTTTAAATGATATTAAAGCTTAAAGTTATGCATAATTGGCTGCTTTGCGTGACGGATGGTTGCTGACACAGCAACCAGGCTTCATTGGTCCCACATCAGCTCCACCTCTTTACCCATTTTTGGATTAGCCGGAGTCAGGCTCTGCCAAGATGGCAACTGCCGGGATCGAGCCACACTGAGCTTTACAGTGGCTCCTTAGAAGCCTGTGGGTGACGTCAGACGTAACTACGTCCATGTATTTTACAGACTGTGGCGTAGACCCACTTTTTTTGCAATTCACTCCTCCTTACAAACTCTAAATTCTTGCAAAATCGCATCACGTTTGGTGTAAAGATGTTTAGTGCATCTAATTTTTCTGTGAAATTTTGGGTCATTTATCTGCATCGTACTTGGTGTGTAAAGGCGGTAAATGGGACACTGCATTTTAGCTTTAGGTGGTTACTATGGTGTGTTCGGAGGTGGGAATGACGTCACACCCGAGTTGACGGCGTTCCAGTTAACAAGTCGGAAAAACACACTCAGCCAGCTGTTGTTAACAACTAGCCAGTTTAGCTATTGTTACGCCGGTTGATATAAAAAAACGCATTGTGCAGTATTTACTCATACTAAACACTGTAACAACACGTTCACAGACAGCAGTTGGATATCAGCGCTAATAAACAGCATAAACTACAGCTTTCACTAACTGTTGATACTCAGAGCCGCCATCTTGGATCACAAAGTCGGGGTAGTGCAGTTCTCCCGACTTTCCAAGTCAGAAATCCGACTTAAAGAGGCGTTCCCTTTAAAATTTCTGACTATGAACTTGGAAATTCCGACTTCCCATGTCAAATGGAATGCACCACTAGATTCCACTGTAGGCTGTCTGTCTTTTCAACAGTCTGGCAACCTTTGTTGCTCTGTAAAAGAATGGGGAATTTTGAGTGCTTGTTGGGATTTCACTTTGGAAAAAAAAAAATTGTTTTTCTCTGATTATTATTTGGACAAACACTGCACATAATAACCACTGTTGCTAATTTGTTATTTATAAGAATAACAGCTGGGTATTGGGTATGATTTTTTTTTAATGAATGTGTTGATCATCCACCTTTTACAGTAGAAAATATCCACTTTCTTCCATCTCTTAGGTCAAAATCCCGCCGCCTCACAGGTACTGATGCATTTCCAGGAGACAGCTGGTCAAAGCACAAGCAGCAGAAGGCTCTGGGCCAGCTGAGCCAGTATGAGCTGAACCAGGTTAGAAAAGATTACTCTGCTACAGTTAATCATTATGTTACAGTTGTAGTTGCTGTTACCAAGAGTAAATAGATGCATGTTTGCTAGACAGGAAAACAATGGCGGAATTCTTCCTAGTTTGAAGCTTCCAGAAGCACTATACAAATAAAAAAAAATTTGAACAGGGGAACCAGCACCCCAGTCTGCCACTCCTTGGGCACTGTACCCGACTTCCACGCAATGTTAAAGAGACGTGTCATCCAAGACAGCCCCTCCACACCCAAAGCTTTTAGCATTTCTCTCATCAATCTCTGGGGCTTTGCCACTGTGGAGTTGTTTGACTACCCTAGACAGCAAATCCCGGAAGGCCTCCTTCTTCAGACGGCTTCCCTGACCACCGGTGTCCACCACGGTGTTCGAGGGTTACCATCCCTTGAGGCACCTAAGACCTTGAGACCACAGCCTTCCGCTGGGGCTTCAGCAATAGACTCCCCAACCTCCACAGGGATGCCAGAAGATCTCTGTCGGAGGTTTGAGTTTCAAGATCTTACGGACAGGGGCCTCCTCCAGACGTTCCCAGTTCACCCGCACTACCCGTTTGGGCTTACCGGGTCTGTCCAGAGTCTTCCCCCACCCCCAACTCACCACCAGATGGTGATCAGTTGACAGCTCCGCCCCTCTCATGCGGCCTCAAAACAAAATTGATCATCGATCTTCAGCCTAGGGTGCTCTGGTGCTCTGGTGCACGTACACTTGTGAGCATCCTTATGTTCAAACATGGTGTTCGTTATAGAATCCATGACTAGCACAAAAGTCTAACAACAAACACCCACTCCACCTGTTTGGTGCATATGTAAATGCTCTGTACTTGTATAGCGCCTTTCTAGTCTTTTCGACCACCAAAGCGCTTTTACACTACATCTGCATTCACCAGATACGCATTCATACACTGAGCCTAAGTGCTCAAACGGAAATTGCCCGAATTGGCTATTCCGCCCCTACGCGGGGTTCAGTATCTTGCCCAAGGACACTTCGACACGCAACCAGGTGGAGCCAGGGATTGAACCGCCGACCTTCCGATTAACGGCCAACCCGCTCTACCTCCTGAGCCACAGCCGCCCGCACAAACAACAGTCAGAGTCGTCCCCCCCCCCCCCCCCACTACCCGAAGGCGCAGGGAGGCGACCCTCTCGTTCACCGGAGTAAACTCCAACGTAGCGGCGCTTAGCCGGGGACTTGTGAGCATCCCCACACCCGCCTGGCGCCTCACACCTTGAGCAACTCCAGAGAAGAATAGGGTCCATCCCCTATCCAGGTGTACGCTTCCAGAACCGAGACTGTGCGTGGAGGTCAGCCCCACCAGATCTGACTGGTAGCGCTCCCATCTCCCACACAAGTTCTCCTTGCCCCTCAGAGAGGTGATGTTCCACGTCCCCAGAGCCAGCCTCTGCCGCCCAGGTCTGGTTCGTCGAGGCCCCTGACCTTCACTGCCACCCTTGTGGCAGCGCACCCGACCCCTACGGATCTTCTGAAGGATGGTGGGGCCAAAGGATGGAGAGGGGGGTGCCGTGTTGCTTTTTCGGGCTGTCCCCGGCAGGGCTACGTGGCAAACCCAGCCACCAGGCGCTCCCCGGCGAGCCCTCCCTCTGGGCCTAGCTCCAGACAGGGCAGGGTCTCTCCTCCTCTTCCTCGTAGTTTCATCAGGGGTCTTTGTGAACCATTCTCTGGCCCCCCACCTGGAACCACTTTCCCTTGGGAGACCCTACCAGGAGCACTAGGCTCCAGACAACACAGCCTCCAGGTCCCCGGGGCACACAAACCTCTCCACCACGATAAGGTGATGGTTCCCGGAGAGGTAATTAATATTACTTTGTTCCTAATTTAGCGAACGTTACATAAATAAACAAATATTTTTAGCGCCTTTCGCGGGATAAGGACGGTTTACACATACAGTGACAGAACAACAAAGTCATTCAGGATTGAATGCCTTGGTAAAGAGATGGGTTTTAGTAGATTTTTTAAGTGTCCAGACAGGGAGCATTTCGGATGTCTGTGGGGATGAGCTCCAGAGGGTGGGGGCTGTGAAGCTGAAGGCTCTGTCCCCAAAAGTCCAGAGTCTGGTGTGGGGGACAGAGAGCAAACCCTTGTACAGGGGAGATGTTAGCTAGCACTAACAGCCTTCACTTATCCAGCAGTTGGGGAAACTACAGACTTTTATTAACGGACACACAGTGACCTACGCTGCATGTTTACTACCAGACTGAAACTTACTGCTAATATATTTCTCCGCTAACTTTCACCGTCATGTTTTGCCGCCCGCTCTCTCATTCACTCGGCCTCACACACAAGATACATAGAGAGCTGCCGAGCATCGAGTGTTACCATGCCCACAGTGTGCGAGTTAAAATCATTACTTGTGCACTGATATTAATGATTGTGTGACATTTTAGAAGGGTGATTATTGATTCCACAGCGATGGTGTGCCGAATACAGGGGAACACTGCTGGTCTCTGTTGTGTGCTCTCCACAGATGGTCAGGGCACTGTACATCCGCAAGTTCTGCCTTTTGCGTTCCGTCAACATTACGTTATAAATTACCATTTCAATAATCGATTTTTAAACATTTATTAATCGATTCATAATCGTCCACGTCTGCATCGCAATGCATCTAAGAATCGATTATTTCTCCCACCCCTACATGTCACTGTGTTGGAAAGTCAGTGAGCCTTTGAGTGTTCACGCTGCAGTTAACATAATCTTTGGCGTTGCATTTTCTCTCAAAGTACTGGTGGACCTGTACCATCAAAAGCCATTTAGTTTTAATGACTAACAACATATAAATATGACCATTGTAGTTTGGGCTGAAACTAACGACTATTTCGATCGTCGATTATTCAAAACGAATAATTGACTCGGGTGTGACTATTTTGAATCACAAAATTACACAATGGCTCTTTTTTATCTATCAGCTTTTAAATTAAACTAGAGGTTGTTTTAGGCATGTGTTAATTAACAGTCAATGCAATAAAATGAATACTGCTTTCAAAAATACATCTTTTAATGAACATTTCTGCTGCAGCAACAGACAGTTCTGCTGAAATCCAGTCCTGTCATGGACCAAACAGGTATACAGTAAGAAAGCACTGGTCTGAACAGCTGATCTGCTATCTAGTGACGGAGCAGCTTACATGCCTGTACTGCAACACACCGGGACAAACTGACACTATATTTAGACAAAGAAAGGAATAACTTCATGCAAGACCAATAATAACAATTTTGGAGTAGACAGCATTTCACAATGCTTATATATACTGAACCAAATTATAAATGCAACACTTTTGTTTTTGCCCCCATTTGACATGAGCTGAACTCAAAGATCTAAGACTTTATGTAGGCACATTTTGGAGTGGCCTTTTATTGTGGCCAGCCTAAGGCACACCTGTGCAAATCCCATGCTGTCTGATCAGCATCTTGATATGCCACACCTGTGAGGTGGATGGATTATCTCGGCAAAGGAGAAGTACACAGATTTTGACAGATTTGTGAACAATATTTGAAAGAAATAGGCCTTTTGTGTACATAGAGAAAGTTTTAGATCTTTGAGTTCAGCTCATGATGAATGGGGGCAAAAACAAAAGTGTTGCGTTTATAATTTTGTTCAGTGTAGTTTTCCCTAACTCAACAATTCACAAAACTCTTTTTTTAAGGGACTCTGGGCGGATGATTTTGCATCAAATATTTGCTATTGCAGTTTAACAAACAATTTATCATAATTTGGTCAAAAGCTTTGGATGTATCCAGGAAACAGAAATATTATAGTGTTATTTATTCTATAATACTAACAGCTTCCTTCAGTGCATATAGTAGACACAGATCTTTGCCATGTTTAAAAAACCAAAACCAATTTGATTGTAAATTTGTAATACGTATTCTTGATGCCTATCCAAGAGAATTCCTTTGGAAAGTATGCTAGCCAGGGAAATTGATCTGGTTTTGTTTTTGACTGCTGGTACTTAATTGATTGCCATGTAGATCTCTGGTTATTTTCCCTGCAAATGAGGCATTAAGGGAATATTTTTGGTTAAGGTTTTTAAAACACTGATTTCAATATTTATGGCTAATTTCAGCTGACATGTTTTAAAACATAATACAGTAAATGTAGTCATTAGTGGGTGAAATGTACAGTAAAAAAGAAAATTATGAAATTGTAGCACCCCTGGCCAGTCCTTAAGGTGCCCCAGGGAACCACTGCCAATCATTAGCTGATAAAATAAATCTAAACTTTATTTATTTTACTATTAGATCTATCCAGCTCATTTAATTTTTTCTTCACCTTAGTTGAGATATTTTTCTTAGCATGCATTTAATCACTTAACTGTTCCCTGTTTCCCTTTTTTCCTCCCTCACCAAATTTCCGATTTTGCTATGCAAACTTTTTTATGATAATGAGGTGCAAACGCACGGGTATCATGGAATTTGCAAAATCTTTCCAAAGGAATTGACCTCTCACTACTTCTTGGTTGTAAATTTGTCAAAATTGTGAGTTGATGATGACCGTCTTAACACACTCTTAGATTTGGTTTTTGTGAGACAAGAGACAAGAACTGCTGATTACATCTAATTTTGGATTTCATGCAGGTTCAGTCTGCTTTACTGATACAGTCTGTGTTATGAGATCTACAATGTTATATAATATTAAGACGGAGTTGACCTCATCACTTCTGTTCTTTTTCCTGCAGAACCCAAATTTGAAAGGCAATGGGAAGAAATGTCAGGACTCACCTTATGTGAAGAAAGGAGCCAATGACAATGGAGCCAGCAGCCAGCAGGTGAAAAATACATTAGTAAGTACAAAATCATATTTGTTTTAGATTTATTACTATTTAGATCAGATGTGATTCTGGCATTTTTTATTTAAAAAAAAGTTCAAACTTCAGTACCACTCTTATACTCTCTTTACAGAAAGAAGATAAAAGACTTCAACCCAGAAGACTGCAAGACAGTTTTGAGAAAGGTATGGTTTGTACAGTTACCATGTCTAACTTTGAAACCACACCCACTCTGCTAAGCTAACTTAAGAAACTAATTTCATTGCCGCACCATATCATATCATAACCTTGAAAAGTGCATGATGTGTTACTGAGTCCTGAGTTGGCAGATACTTTACTGAACAACTACTTTTCAAACATGAGACTGACATGTAAAGGTACCACAACATTTACAGAGTGACAACCCGGCAATGTTTGGCAAGAGGCTACCCACTGGCAAAATAAATAATAATTTGATTGCGGCTAGTGCTGAAATACATCTTTCATGACAGCAACAGTTACTCACATAATCGCTTGCTCTTAAGTGATTGTGCCCACAAAAAATTACTTTGAAAAGTTCTGAAAGACATACAAAAAAGTCTATGGCATTCTTGACACACCTCTTTAAAAAGCCTCAGGAAACGTGAGATTGGATTCCCCTGAAAAAGAAGCGCGGTATTTCCTCTTCCTGGAGATGCTGGGGAAATGAAAATAAGCGTCCATAGGTTGATGGATGTGGATCAGTTGTCAGGATGCACACGCTCCAGCACATGCTTTATTGTGAGCATATGAAACAGTGTCTTCATTGTTAATTTGTTGAAGAGGGAAAAAAATATATATCAGCGCAAGGGGGGACCGAACACACAACCCTCCAAAGGCCTATTCACTGCTGACGGAGCTAACTGGGAACCCAACAATTGTTTTTGAATTATCAAACTAATGTGCCGACCCCTGACCTACAGCAGTAATAGCACTGACACAACACGACAATGGCGGAGATACTGCTAGATATTCAGCGCTTCCTTAGAACTTAACATAAAACATTTAGGTCTTACAACTCCGTTTCAACACATTTGTTTCTAACATATATCAAACCTGTGTGATGACTAAAACTCTGTTTACACAATTCACTACCACATCAAAGGGTACAAGCCCCGTCCCCATGAGTGTACCTCGTCTTGCTGTTTCAAAGGTGAGCAGCATAATCCCCGCATGAGCAGCTCCACTTTGCCCCATGAGTGCTCCCTGCCGTTGCTGTGCAGAGATCCGCTCAGCGCTGTTCTCTATTGTATTTATTAATTCTGAACGTGCCGTGTGTTCAAATCGCATCTAACGCAACACTGCACTCCCTTGGGTCTGCAGCAACACACACGCCACGTTTGAAGTCGATCGGATGGATGGATCCCGACAAAATCGAAATACAAACACACACACACACACACACACACACACACAGATTCCCCTCTTTATTAGAGAGATCTACAGTTACAGAGTCTGATCTGATACTTTTACCTAAATGTTGAATAAATGTGTATCTGTATCTGTAATTATTTTTCACTAGGTGTTTGATCCAAATACCGGTCTTACAAGGCTTACAAGCTTAAGTTTATAAGCCTAAATTATTGATATGATATGAATGATGGTTTCACTGGGAGAACGTGACGCCTGAAACTTACTTGATGCGATCCGCTATATGAATCACTGAACTGGATTTTTTAGAAATACAGAAACACTAAATCCACTTGTATACATACAGTGGTTTTACAAAGTAATGATCTTAGTACAGACACTTTAATGAAATAACAGACAGATAAGTTTAATTTTATTCTGTCAACCTAGGGCACTCAGGAGCCCCTGAAGGAGTTGTCTGCTTTGCCCATTTGGTAATCCAGCCCTGACCCCCAGGGGGCTCTGTAATGATTAGCGTGTGTGTCAGGTGCAAAGTTGTGGTCCAGAAAGAGCACACTGAACACTGGGACAACAGCAAAACAAATGAGGAATAAACATCTTCCTCATATCATAGGTTCAAACCTCCCTAAGATTAAAAGCTAAGTGAACATCCTCCATACATGAAACATGTAATTAGCTTTTCTTTTCACAGATGTGGCTCCATGCAGCTCCAACGGTCACCAGACAGTCCACAGCAGAGTCTGTGAGCACCTGCTGTCCTCCAAGGCTTTCCTCAATTTCAAATTTGACAGGGACGCCATCATGAAATGTTTTGACTACTGACATGGCTGTTGAAGCGCTGTGCCTCTCCTGTAACAACATCAAACTATGGCCTTTTTACCTTATAGTCCAGGCAAGGATGTTACTGAACATTTTTTTCTTTCCTTGCTTGTCATGAACACACATTTGTAGTGGGGAGGTGCCAGTTTGTCATAGAACATATCAAGTAAGCTTCACTGGAATTCTTGGCCTTTGTTGCCCAAATTTTTAGACCTTATAAAATGGGTGGTAACCTAACAGCACTGTCTTCAATCTGTCTATGGCGGAATCCTAACTTTAGTTTTAGTTCTTCATAGCTGAATACCTAAATTCATCATTTTCTCTGCAGGAGACAGCTCACAGACCAATAGGAGCGAACTGCTCAGGTGAACTATTAGACTTTTAAAGGCAAAAGATCAAAGGTTTTGGGAATATAATGAATTTTAAGCACATGTGAGGTGACCTTGAAATGTTATAAATTCAGCTGTGATATCGTAGTGAATTTGTCCAATGTTACATTTATCATGTTATATATTGATTTTAAGAGGTAACAATTTAGACATCAGTCATTTCCTCCATTCTTCCAACTAAGCACCAAAAATGTTTTGAATGCTGAAAGGTGGGTATTAACACTATTATTGGCTTCATGTATTTACTGTGTTGTTGGCTTTATTACCAAAATCACTTAGGTTTTTATCCAGGAATATAGATGTAATGGAATATTGACTTGGGAAAGGAAGGTACAAGTGGCAAGTTGAATGTCATTAAATACATGTTACTCTGTTGTATGGAAGTAAATGGCTGCCAATATTAAAATTAAATAATTAAATCAAATTGATGTATTGAAAATCAATAATTAAGGCCAGAAAAATTACAAATTAAAATGAAGATGCCATTGACAGATAGTTTTCAGTGTACTGCACCGCATTTCACTTTATAATAATAACTGAATGAATGAAAGTGGTTGACTGTGAAATGATGTCCTGTTCTTAGCTTGTGTCAAATGAAGATGAAAATGCCCATATTGGTAAGAATCTTGACGCCTCTTTATTGAAAACAGTCTTGAGTCAACTGAAAAAGGCCCAAGTCCAATTTAATTATACGTTTTGTTTTGACCGTAGTTGGGTATTTTCCATTATATGTGTGAAACTTGGATTTTAACATTTTTATTGTGTCACACACCATGGACATGCAAAAGGATAAATACATTTCAGTTTGTTTTCAGCCACAGACCTCCATACACTATTGTTGCTATTTGCCTTAAACTGACCCACATCCCACTTGTGTTTGTCTGTCTATTTTTCAGCAGTCTTGTAATCCAAGACTGTTCTGTTCTGCGGATTGTAGGGTTTACAGGTTCGAATTCCGGTTGAGATTTCTCAGACCAGAAGTTCTCAATCACATTCTTCGTGATCCAGTAGTTAACTGCTATAGTGTTGGGTTGCCACAAAAACTTGCAGAATCATGGGCTATGGGATGGAGGAAAACTGCATTAGACTAACTGTGAACATAAGTTATTCTCAAAAATATTGCATATGACTCCCCTGAAGGGCCACATTAAGGGATTTCATGCCACTAGAGCTGAAAACTTAAGCAAAGGCAGTTTTCATAGAATGAGAAACTTTTTTAGAAGTCTTTAAAGTTCAACAATATATTTTTTTCTCAAAGATTATCATACATTCATATGATGACTAAATCTGGATGTGAGATCTCTTGTGATGGTTTTCACTGGCAGTTCTTTGTTATTGATTGTACATAAGGTGATCTCAAGTTGACCTTTGGCTTCAATGCTGTTTTGACAAAAATGTGAATATTAATAAAGTCTGTTTTTCACTCTCAGTTGTTGACTTGTTGTAATACATGAGTTATAAATATGCACTAGATTAAACATTTCAAAGTTTCTCCTGGAGAAGGGCTGATATTCTGTGGCTAATTGTACATCATGTATATGCTTAGTCTAGTAGGTTTTATAAATTTTCTACAGTGTATTTCCAACATTATACACCAAACATAGAAAAAGTGCTACTTTAGTGAAATGTCGTAACAGTTATGTGTCTCCCCCCAAGGAAGGCTCAAATTTAAAGGAAAACTCTAAGAAAAAGACCAACAAAGGAACATGTCTCTGTCTGGAGAAAGTTATTTTAACTACTGAAATTTTCAGATACGTGACTTGACGACTCATAACTATACTTGGAGGATATAAAGTGTAGCATTGATGCTATAGTAATTACGTAATGACGGGTAATGTTATCAGAAATTTTATGTGCAGTCAGTGACAATGAAAGGCCCTTTTTTAATTAATTAAATTTTTAAATGCCATTTCTGAGTTTCATGGGCTTTAACTGTTCAATACCAATTTCTTTAATCAAATATTAGAAACAATGTACGTCATTGTTTTGTGAGTAAAATGCATAGAGCGTATATGTATATAAAAAGGTAAAGTGATTCTTTCAGGTCCACGTTAGGTTTGTTGTAACGACATTTATTCTGAAGGAGTTCGACCGGATGTACAGTCGTTGTTGGCGGCACAGGCAAAACAACGTTTTACACCCGAGGGCGAAACATTTCAATGGAGTCCGTCCCACTGTCTGACGGGGTGCTGTCCGTTTGAGAATACTGTCGACTCTCTTCACTTATCAAGGCACAGTATCCGCGTTAAGTCGTTTTATGACAAGCCCAGATGTATAGCCAACCACAGTTTTGTTTACACGCCGTGTCTCTCAGCTAACGTTAACTTAGCTAACGTTAAGTTAAGCTAGTTCTGCGTTTCGATACCGGTGAAATGAAACACACGAGCCTCTTGTGGAGAGGCTTCTTGAAAGAAACTTAGCTGAGGCTCCACCACAACAGAGGTTCTGCGTGTAGCTGATTTAACCCAAGTACGTAGACACCTCACCTTACTATGACGTAACGCAGAAATTCAGTAAATGCTAACTTTGTTTTTATCGTCCGTCAAGCCTCAAGTCTACACCTCTGCCAGCAGCCGAAAGATTTAAAAACACAGCAGCCTTGTGCTCTGACCCTCTTCAGCTCGAGCCTTAAAGTCCATACATTCTGGTAAGAGTTAACGTTATGTGGTTAAGCAGAAATGTAACTTAAGTTAGTAAGTTATAGAAGACTTGGTTAGCACGGTACGTAACGTTATTGTGCTGCAGCATGAGGCCAAAATGTTATTGTGAAAAATTTTTCACATGGCTAATTAATTACTACTCCGTGTTTGAAGCTAACAGGCTGAGTAACGTTAAGTTACTCCACCTAACGACTGGTGAACTGACCTTTGTGTGGATAATAGGTAGTTTTCCCCTTTTATAAAACAAGCCTCCATCTCCACATTACATCTCCATGACACATATACAATATACATTTGTCAACAGTGAGAGATTTTGAACCATGACAGCTCTCCCTTAAACATATCGGGGCGTATTAGGCTAATGTGGAAGATGTTGTAAATCAATAATCAGAACTGAATTATGGCAAATTAAAGTGCCTTGTTAGGTTTTTAATTTGCTGCAATATGCAAAAGCAGACCACCTTCTGTTTTATTCATAGTTAATTTATTGTCTAGATGTTTTTCTGAATGTACTGTGTGATATACTAATATCACAATATAAAACAGACACGTGTTTATCCATTTCAAGACATGACAAAAGTGTTCAAGGCTTCCATCAATTCATTTTAGTTTATCTCTGTGTGTTTTGACCTCACTTTGTTAACACAAGAATTCCTACAGTCTCTGTGGTAAGATAAACTGTTGTTATTTTGCAGTGCAATATGTCGAATGCCGGTACAACGTCGCGGAAACCGTCCAGGAGCCAGCACACACCACCCCGTGGTTCCATCTCAAACGGCCTCAAAGACATTCACATCGATGAAGAAGTCAAAATAGCAGTGAACCTCTCTCTGGAGAGGTTTCGCTACAGTGACCAGAAAGGTATCTGCTGTATTTATTGTTTTATCTCAGAATATCAAAATAAAATCAAAACACTTAAGTTTGTTCAGCCTTAGTAAAATTATACATATTGTTATATTACACCAGTGTGAGCAGGAAGGTATGATAGTCAATTCTTGTACTGTGTCTTAATATTTACCCTTTCCTTTCCCTGACTGACCAGAGATGGAATTTCCCTCCTCCTTGGGCAGTACCGAGAGGGCTTTTATTCATCGAATGGCACAGTCCCTTGGTTACATTTCTAAGAGCAAAGGGTAAGTTCCTCCACCAGGACCTGTGTTCATCAAGTATCTGAGTATCTCACTCCAAGGAATCTTGCTCAGACTAAAACTAGGACTGGCAATGACAAGAACATTTTACAAAGTTATGAACACACACTCACAAAAGGGTAGAATGTTGTTTATAAAAAGCTGGATTTATTCGTGTGTGTTAAGGATCCCGTGTAGCTTCAGAGCTTACGCACATATCTGCTGTGGGCTACAATGTAGCTGACCTTCTCAAAGTGTACAGTGGCTACAGTGATACCACAAGCGTAAAGTAATCGTTAATTCGTACTTTATTAGTCTATTATTATTGTGGCATCCCGCAAAACCACGCTGTAGTCCAATGAAGAGGTGCAAACTTTCCTCAATTTGGTCGAAACGTAGTGGGCCATGAGTGTGTGTCGAATTAAATATTACGTCACGGCAGTTTCATGCAGCTTAGCTATGACAACCACATTGAAGGGGTACTACATCTACAGTGGAAAACGGAGGACGGGGAACCAAAGGCTAGTCCAGGCGAGGCGAGCAGAGCTTGTACCTGCAGACTGGTTTACTCTCGCATGTCATGTGACCAGAGCGTAATCGCAGCCTTTGTGATTAGAAAGTCTCACTTTATCATATCATATTTATCATAATGCAGTTAATCGTTCAGCCCCAGCGCCAAATGTAAATAAAAGAACTTCAACACAGTTACAGTGTGGAACATTATTGGCCCTTTGCTAAGCCATGCGCCGAATATGCAGCTGGCCAATCACAGTGCAGTGTAGGACTCGCTCTAACTGAAGTCCGACACTTTCGTGGCTGCGCTCCATTGACTCTAATGCAAAATGAGTCGTTTTCTAGTTTTCTTTTGCTGTATTTTTCCAAGATCTGGTCAAACGCTGTTCCTGGGGCACTTGTAATAGTTACAGTCGCTACCCAGAGAGGTTAAAAGGAGAAGTACAATTTTTTTCTCTTTCCAAAACCTAAAACAAATCCAGAAAACTGTAGGCTGTGGATTGTTCCTAATGTCATGTTAGTTAGCTAACACTAGCTAACTTACTACTGAATGTAACATTTTAAAGTCCTACTGTTCTGCTTTTTAATGATTGTAAAAGTGAACAGAGACCTAACGTTACCCAGCTGTACAGGAACGGTGTTGATCCTTAATGTCGTTGTCCTCTTTCTCAATAGTCAGCTAATACGGTGGTTCACTTTTACTCTGTGATCGGTAACTGTTAGGCTTTAGCTTCTCTCTTTGTTTTTTCACGTCAGTTTGACAGCCTGAATACAATCTTCAAATGTCTGTCTGCTTCTTTCTGAGATCGCTTTTTCCAAAAATTAGACAATTTTTCTCCAAGGAGTGAAGTAACAGACAGTGGCAGTACCGTGATAAAAGTCTGACAGGTCGGACTTAGCAACAGTAACTAAGGGGGGCGAGGCTTAGCAAAGGGTCAATTAGAGCTTGATACCACCTGATGAAAACATAAGCTGTAGGTACTTTATGGACAGGACTGTTTGCATAGAGTATAGATTCATCTTGGCTGACTCATTTGTGCTTACAATTTACCCACAAACCACCCATGACAGTGAAATGTGGTATTGACTCACTTTGAATTCATCCTAGACAACCTTTGAAGCAGTGAGGCCTTCTGTGTGTGAGCTGATTGTGACACTAACAAAACAGGAGTTATAGAACATACATGGGATTGTTGATTTGATATGAAATAAACTCTATCACAGATGTGAAAGACTTAATATTTGCCACACTTGACCACTTGGGTCTTATTTCCATATTTTTGACCTGTTCATAATAATATTGCAACGTTAGCTGTATCGGTGCCTTTTGTTGTTCAATGTGTTCAGCTTTTCACAGAGGCGACATGCTTGTCAATCACTTTTCATTTCATGTACTACAGCAAATCATTAAATGTTGAACAATATGATTATTGAGAAGTTAGTACTTAGCATTAACAAATTAGAGACTGATGTAGAGCCTTTTGCTTGCACAAGGATATAATGAATAAAAACAACCCACAGAAATGAAACAGCTGTAACTGGATATAATATTCAACTACTGGTAAAAAATTTTTTTAAAAGTATACTATTATATGAAAGTGTAATGAATGTAAATGCTCCGTATTTGTATAGCGCCTTTCTAGTCTTTTCGACCACTCAAAGCGCTTTTACACTACATCTGCATTCACCAGTCACACACATTCATACACTGAGCCTAAGTGCTCAAACAGAAACTAACATTCACACTCACTCATACACTGGCGGAACAGCCGCCAGGGGCAAACCGGGGTTCAGTATCTTGCCCAAGGACACTTCGACACGCAACCAGGGGGAGCCAAGGATTTAACCGCCGACCTTCCGATTAACGGCCAACCCGCTCTACCTCCTGAGCCACAGCCGCCCCAAATGAATGTAGTATTTATTATATTATTGTTATACTAATAGTGTACTATTAACTAAACATTATACTCCTTATTTAATACACTCATGTACATTTGTGGATAGAGACTCTGCTGACTCAGCCGGTGCCAGTGTGCCAATCAGCGCTCCAGACTAACTTTTACTCGCCTCCGTCCCGGAACCGTCCTGAAAAACAATTTGAACCGTCCTGAAGTTAACGTATAGTGTCC